AAATTATATGGTATAAGGTTATAATAATGTTTTGTGGAGAAATAAAAATATTGACCGATAAGAGTAATGTATAATAAATAAGAATATTGACTAATTTATTGTTAGAGAAATATAAGGTAAGTTATATGATATAATGTTATTGTACAATATTGTTAGAGAAATATAAGGAAAGATAAAAAAAATGTTAGTATAATGAAAGAGTCCAAACAACTTTCTTAAGTATATTTATTTAGACTCCTTCTCTTTTAATAGTATAGATTGAACTTACTTTAGAATGCAGGATCAGATCGGATACTCCAAAGATGGTACAGTACTAGTTAATTAATTAACGAGACCCTTACATTTGCCCATTGGAACTTCGGAAGAGGCACTGATTTTTAAATTAAGATGCAAATGCAATGTATCAAGATGAATAATCATTGTAGACAACAGAATCAGCTCAAAGATATCCCTCACGTTTGGCGTACTAAACTTGTACTCATTATTCAAATCTTTATCTTCTTCCAACTTGATTTCTGTTTTGTCCCCTTAACGTACGGCACATATACAACTTTTTGATTTGGTTTTCTAAGTAGAACATGCGATAAAACATTGACTATCATTAAAAAATGTAAGTATTTGCAAGTGATATTTATAATGCGAAAGCTAATAATTCACACTGACGCCAGTCGGTGTGTTGAGCTGGATGAATATATATCAGCTTCAGAATATGATTTCGTTTCTGAATGATGTGCCATTATTTGGAATATACAAAAAAAAAGAGTTGTACAGATTTTTCTTCAGTGGATGCTAAGTTTTACTGCATGTTCAAGATAGTCAGAAGGCTGGATTTTGTGAGAAGATTCGTACATAGTCTACAAGCCACAATAGAGGTTTCGTATTCCTTGGCCTTCAAACATTATGTATAATGGTCCATATACAAGTAAAAAAATTATCTACACCCACGGACTAGTCACGGCTAAGATTGAAAAGCCACGGATTAGTCATGTTTTATTTTGATGTTTATCTTTGGACTTGATTTTGGCAAAGTGCTAGTTATCCAAATTGAACCAACATTCTTACTATAGGTAGAGTACCAGTTTTGCAGCTGAAACTGCGATGAATGACTACAAACAATAATAGATGACGAAAATATGAGAAGATTTATTGAAAGAGAAACATAACATTAGAAGGAACATCCAACATTTGTTTGAATGGAACGAATTAAAAAAAAAAAAATCCGACATTAGCATCGTCTGGTATTATATTTAATCTAACACTATACACCAAAACTGGCGGCTCCAGACGCAATTTAGGAGAATAAACGGTTCTCATGTGACTCTCTGTGTGTCAAAATGATGCAAGAAGCTTGTCAAATGACAGTTTGGTCTCTAGTCCCACTAATTGATGCTTGCATATCTCTGGCAAGAACTTTCATACCTATAAAATAACATACAAGCCCAAATCTATTAACTTTTATCTCAAATTAGAGATTACTGAAAATTTGCAATAGTGAGCGACCAGGTTGATATAATCTGCAGTGAGTAAAGCAAGATGAAGGTTGCTTACGTGCTAGAAGCCGTGTTATTAAGGCAAGGCAACAAGTCTACGGTTAAGACTTGTGTGAAAACGTGATATTCTGGTCTTTCTAGAGATTTCACTGCTACCAGGAGTTTTATCATTGTCAAGCCCATTTTGATTCAGTTTTGGTTTCTTCTGCTTGCTTCTATACAGAAGATCTGCTGTGTTTGGTTCATACTTGACCTAATAACAATTTTGAAATTCTCATTATTCACATTAAAGGAAAAAAAAAACAGAAAGTTTATAACTATGATAGATTCACAAGATACAATGTAAATTACCTTGGAAGAACTGCAAGCCATCTTACATTCAACCTCGTTGATAATTTTTAATCCTTCCATTGCATGCGACATCCCTGAAGATTCATCTGGACCGCTCATTTTCACCTTGTTCCTGAAGAGAGTATACAATAATATGATTACTAAATACACTTGCACAATTGAAGACACAAATTTATGCTGTTATAACCACCTTTTCAGAAATAGACCAGGCTTGTCTTCATCAGGTACAAGCGAAAGAAAGTCATTCTGCAGATAATTTGCAAAACCTGGTTCCACTGTTACAGCTGTAACTTCAGGATGATCATTCCCGCTCTTCATAAGTTGAATCCCGAGACGGCCTTGTGCAGATGACTGCATATAATATTTGCAAGGATACATTAACACGTGAGACAATGTACACAAGGTGTGGCCAAATATCAGAAGAGAACATACATATTCAATCCGGTATATGTTTTGTTCATGGAGAAGGGCTCTGGCATTCTCATGGTACACTATATCAAAGAATCTTCCCTGTTTTCTGTAGTTCTCGTATGTGTATAGTTGCAGTAGCTTGGTGTCTGTCTCATCAGCTGAAACTGCATGAAGCTGAAGCATTTCCAAGCCATTTCAATAATCAGTACACAACAAAGCAAAGGATGGAGAAAAGAAGCAGAGTCAAGACAGGAACAAGTTGCAGGTGAAACTAGAAAGCTTACATGCTTGACAAACTTCTGAACTAGCTTGTCCAATGTGAAGAGAATATATGATTGTGCTCCAATAATAGCTCGGCATTCATCTTCAAACTTTGTATTATCACTCGAGCCGTCAAGTAAATTATAGAGGGCATCCATGAACCTATGCTTCAAATTTATAAGTAAGGAAAAGAGCTATTGTTTCAATTTAAAAGTACCTCTACTCACCTGGCATAAGAATCAGGAGATGTTTTATCTGGATCTGGAGCTTTCCATTTCCTTTCTGAATGTATCTTTGCAGATAGTATTCTCTCGTACAACATCTGGAACAATAAACAACAGAGTTAGCGGTTTAAACTTAATTGACATTTAAGGAACTTGAGAAGTTTTGTTTCGTAGTCCTTACTTGATGAAGCCTAAAAAGGACATAAAATGAGTCATTCCCATAGAAAACTCGAGAATCATTCGGGGAGTTACTTTCACTGACTTGTAGTGCCACAGGAACATGCTTTGCAAGGGGCTTTACAGGTTGCAGTGACCGTTCTGAAAATGTAAAAAGGGATCCATCTTCACCCTCATTCGATTTAACCATCCCTACAGCCCCGTTTTCGCTCTCAACCACACTATCAAGCCGGCCACAGTTCATAGCTCCTTTATGCTCTTCATCTAAAGAAACTTGGCCACCAAACTTGCTTCCTGAAGCAATAATTTTAGAGGCGTTTTCGTTGGCTTCTAGTAACTTTTGATTAGTTTTACCTCCATCATCTTCAGGGGAAGTATTACTTCTTACATTGTCTGGCAGTTTCTGCACAGACTGGACGCCATTGTCTCTATAAACCTCAGAGTTTTCATGCTCAAAACTTTCGGTGGGAGATAATTCACCCTCTTCTCGCTCAACCTTATGCTCTCTCACTGATACATCACCAACCTTACTACGATTCTCTACGCCCTCCATTAACAAATCCTTTCTAAGTGGTGACACCAACTTGGAAGGCTGGCTATCCTGTAGAACCACAAACAAATGTTACGGGAATACTTTTTTTCTTTCTCATAGTAATAATATATAATGTAATAAACTTTGGATTAGTCACTCTTGAAAGCCTTATTTAAGCATATAATTGGTACTTAAGGAAATAGGTAATCATTAATTTTCTCAGTTACCTCAGTAGTTATTGCTGCACCAGCATGCAGTTTATCTTGCGCAAAGGAGCTTCCTATTGTTGGACTTTCTTTATTGGGTGTCTTTGGAGGTGTTAGCGGTTTAGGGTTTGAGACAGGAGATCCGTAACAGGTGTTGTCTTTCACGCCCTCATGCTGCTCTTGTTTGTCATTGGACTTTGCAACATCTATCATAGTCTCATCAGTTTGAGACCTAGAAGGAACACCAAACATTGGCTCCAAAAAGGTTACCCACAGCTTCATTACTTTATCCGACTGTTCCGTAGCACATATCTCTTCACAGTAGTACTTGATTAGTTGATATAGGTCCGCATGAACTTGTGTATCAGTGTAATTGAACTCCACATCTGGAGTGAAAGATGGTTTAGTTCCGACAGCAATGGCATGAAGTGGATCTTGTTTCTGCTTTCTGTCGCTGATATCTTTTATTTCTGCCACTAAACCTGCATTTGGGACACAACAGACGAAAATTTTCATTTAAAGTTATACAAAGACATTCTCTTCCTTTCATTACCTTTTCTGCATCAATCATGACGCCTTTATATAAAGCATACTTGTATATGCTTCAACTTAATTTTAGTACGACATATAAACAAAAAGAACTTATATTTAGAGTGATAAACTGTAAATAAAACTAACCTTTTGTGCTCAGATTCTTGGAGTCCTGCTGCTTGAAATAGAAGCTTCGATGATCTAGTGATTTGTGATGATTCTTAGCATATACTTCAGCCCATACTTTCCTGAAATCAGAGCGACACCTAGCCCATTCTTCTTGTTTCTGCTTCAGGCGAGTTAGTATCACCGGTAAGGCGATATGAGAATTCTTCTTCAGAAAATCCATGACGTCAAGCCCATAGTCTCCGTACAACCGCTCAATGCATCTCAGGTTCAGCTCTATTAAATCAGCACATAAAAATGCATTAGCCCTAGTTAGAAAATAATATACATACATATAGCACAACCAGGTTTGATTAAGTAACTACTTGCCTGATAAGTGTTCTTTGATACATATTGGTGTCTCTATAGAGATTGTGTTGTTGTTGATCTTCTCCAGAAGAGCTTCCACACGGTTAATGGCTGCATTCACAGACTCCAATAACATGTCCAACTCAAACCTAAGACAATATCAGGACATTATATATCCACAAAATTTTCAGACAAGATTCCTGAATATAGTATATGTCTTACCTATCATCCTCGCATCGAAACAAGCTTTCTTCATACTGGTTTTTACGCATGTGTTTGAATGAGTAATCCTCACTCCCCGATGTGACAGATACCCAGTGATCGTTAAGTACCTTCTCACCTAGTGAATTTCTGTAGCTTGGGATCTGAATAAGATACTACACAGGAAAAACCAAAACATATAATCACAGAGCAGTGAAATGAAGCTTGGTAAATCAAAAATAATTTTAAGGTTTAAGAAGAGCTCACATCATCTGGAAGGAGACGATAACTGGGAGTACATTGTGCACACTCAGAAAGATCCAGTTCATTAATACCCCTGGCCACATGGTTGCTGGTAGATAGTAGAATTTTGTGACTGCCATTGTCTTTACTGCCATTTTCATAATCTTGAATACCTTCTTTGTCCTCAACCTTCAGATACCCTGCCCATTGACCTTGATTGATAAGGGATTCAGCAAGTATATATACATATAACTTTTCCTTTTATACAAAAAAAATTACTCAAAAATGGAAAACAAATATTTGTAATTTTGCTTTCAGGAGGCGCTGAGACAGGCCTTAGTAAATAAATAAAAAATGCTAAAGGTGATTCAAAATACTCACTTCCTAGAGAATTACCAGCAGAGCAAGCCACAAGGTTCTCGTCACCATCTTCTCGTTGATCGGAGTGTTCTGTATACTCATTCCGTATTTTTATTCTCTGTGGCAGGTAAAAAGTCTATATTAACATCTCACTCAAACTCTGGACCATAGAGTTTAACAAATTTTCTCTCAACCATTAGCTTTATACAGAATTTTTCATGCTCTTAATTTGTTATTTTAAGTATAGTTAGGGAAAGAATGTTAATACTTTCCAAACTAAGCATGAATGGGCTTTCTACCACAGACAGCCATTAGAAACACTAGTAACAAAGATATGAGAATCTTTTAGATTAGATGAATGTAGAGAAACCTTCTCAAAATTCCTTGGATGCATGGCAGGTACTGAGTTCCTTCCGGACAGAAGGGAATGAGCAGAAGCTGATCCTGAAGTATCAGGTAAGAAATGGGCAAACTCCGCAAGCAGATCGTCATGGTCCTGAAACAACAGAGTAACCTGTACAACAAATGAAAATCAGAAAAAAAATGCAGAGGCGGAAAAGGCAGAGCAAATAAAAAGATATCCACATTAACTGTACACACACCTCTTGATAGACATCAGAGATGGACTTGCTTTGCTTTCTATACATGTTCAAGATGTCTAGAAACTTTTTATATGCACGGTCATCACTCCCAAATCGTGCCTGCAGTAATAAAGGTTGAACTGGTTTAAATCCATGACTAAATTGGTATATGATGTTTACAACATTAGATACATACCTTGATCTTGTTAACAAATTCAATAGCTTCTCCGAAATCAACTGTCTTCTTCTCAGGAAGGGTAATCTTGTACCCTTTGGGCAAGAAGGTATTAAACCCCAAAAGCAAGTCGTCACAGCCCTTGAACAACTCTCTTACTCTTGCTATAACTCCATTAGTATCAACTCTAAAACACCAACATAAGACAACCAATAAAACTAAGCTCATTAGACAAGAAATACCAAAAAAATGGAAGAGACAAGAAGGGTATTTAATACCTCTGAGCTTTAAAGTCCTTCATGACTTCAAGAAAAGTGTCATACTTGTCTTTCTTGTCTTGAAACATATCTTTCACAGCTTTAAGATAGCTCAAGGCATCACCTGTTGTTAGCCCTCCCATCGTTAAAGGCTTACTATTTCTGCATCATCACAAACATATAAAAGTTTAATTCAAATCTTATACCAAAAAAAAAACAGAATTTGAATTAAAAAAAGGACAAATAAAGTAACTTAGGATTCAGACAAGACAAAGTAACTTACGTTTCTCCTCGAGATGAAACAGTATGTCCTCCTCTTATATGAGGTTCAACGTAAACCTCATCTCTAACCCTCTTCATCTCTTTTTTGTTAATCTTCTCACCGGAATATATGAATTAACGCAAAAACAAAGATTCACTGTAACCTAAAACCAATCAGAGTTGGAGAAGAAACCAAATTCAAATTCTTAGTAAACAGACAGAAACTAGATCTATCTAACAAGAGACATGTCTCTGTTTTTTCGATATTTGAAACCGTGTAGAGACCGGATCACATTATTTAAAAAGGAAAGAGACAACTTCTAGGTTCCTTCTGAAGAAGATAAAACGTACATAGAAGAGACAGAGGAGAGTGGATCGCCGCTTTGCCGGAGAAAAGGGACACGGAATCTTTTACACGAATACGGAGAAAGGTTGCTTCTGGTTTGGATCTCTCTCTATCTCTTTATCTGTATGTATGTAGAATCTGTTTATTTCTTTCTCTCTCAGATATACAGAGAGTTTTGGGGGGGGAGAGAAAGAGGTTACCCGTAGAAACCAAAGGCTAAAAGCTCGAGCAAGAGAGGGAAGAGAAGCGCCTGTGAAAATGTTAATGTATAATGTGTTTTTGGAATGTATATGCGGGAGATCATGTATAAGGTTTAAATTTAAATAATAAATGTTTCTATGTTTGTTCAACCAAGGGCGTTTGGTCTAGTGGTATGATTCTCGCTTAGGGTGCGAGAGGTCCCGAGTTCAATTCTCGGAACGCCCCTTTTATATTTTGTTATTATATAAAAATTTGTAATGGGCTAGTTTTCGTCTTTTATCTTGTGTTGGCCCAGGGTGGGATTTGCCTAGTCCTGCTGATAAATATTCCTGGTATACCAAACCATCTTATTTTGTTGGATACACCCATCCGCCATCCCTTATAGACTTGTACATACACAATGAATGTTCTTCATTGTGACTTGTAACTTGTAAGCATCTATGTGTATTACCAAAGTAGATTAAATAATTAAATTAACATTCATGTTAAAACTTTGGTCTCTTAACCACGACATGGTCTATTAAGTTTGGGAAATTATTTTATTTATTAGTTCTTAAGTTTGAGGATTAATCATAAGTTGTTTATTATACCTTGAATGTTTTTATTTTACCGAGAAAAGCTTAAGGACAACGAAAGACTAGTTTAATTGATTCTCTATAGATAATTCAATTAGTTATCGTGGAGTAAGTTATGGAGAGGTCGAAGAACGGGACACTATCTCTGGAGAGACTAGTGTGTGGTCTAGAGGCCTTACATAGCTGTGACCACAATGCAAAATGGCAAGCACAATCGAAACGCCTGTCTACAGAATTGAAAAAAGACAACACTTCATGATAAGTTTGGAGGAAACCCGAGATCTCCTAATACTTCAAAGTTGAGCTAGTGAAGAAGACTCATTGGTTTATCTCGAAATACATTTATTTTAAGCTGACATGTATAAGTGTTTAGTTCGAAGTTTTGTAACCACATTCATATCCACTTTGTTTTAACCACATGATCACACAATGAGAAGTTATTTTTTTCAAACATTCTTTTAGACTTTCTGTTATTGTTAATGATCAATGCTTGTAATGTAGTTTCCGCAAAGAGTTTATACCTTATGTCAAACAAAACAGAGGATCGCATTGGTCATCAAATAACCCACTCTCAGTCTTAAACACTTCTTAGCAGAAGTTTCAAAACCAAAAGATCGGGAAAAAAAACAACAAAAGAGAAAGGATTCGCCACGTGTCAATTCCTTTTGACACGGTTCAAGCCCACGTCACATACTTTTTTAACACGGTCAGTTACTGACCCAAAAAAACCAAAGACTAATTCAAACTTAAGACACAATGAAAGACTCAACGACTACTTAAACTCCAACAAAAATGTCAGCCTGTTGAAGATCTGATGGTATATGTATAACTCTTACTTCACCCTTTTGAACCTTCTCTTGAGCAAAATGTATGTCAATCTTGATATTCTTCGTCCTTTGATGCTAACTGGATTGGAAGAGAGGTAGACGGCACTAATATTGTCACAATAAACAACCATTGCTTGTGTAATCGGACAATCCATCTCGTGCAACAACTTGCGTATCCAACAATAAAAATACTTTGGGAGCGGATCATTACAGAAGAGTTCAAAAACCTCTGATGTATCACTTGAGGGACTTCTAGACCAAACCCAAGCAATTAAGACTCCACATCAGAACTAGCTAAATACTATTAAGGTAGATGAGCTTCCAACCTAAAACCAATTGGTGATGGCTTTTTGGCATCAATCTCGGAATGTTCGGACAAGGGTCGATAGGCTTACTTTTGGGCTGGATCGATAAGGATCAGGTTGCACTACGTAGATCGTGGGTTCTGATACCATGTTAAGCTAGATGGGCTTCCAACCTAAAACCAATTAGTGATAAGTGGAGTGGCTCATCTATCTTATATACTAGATAGAATCCCTTCCAACTTCCGATGTGAGATCTTTGTCCCTAATACGCCTCCTAAGAACATCTTCTCGAGAAGGCGTATTAGAGACAAAGATCCCACATCGGTTATTGGAATGGATCCTTAGTAGTATATAAGATGGATGGACCACTCTACTTATTACCAATTGGTTTTATGTTGGAAGCTCATCTAGCTTAATAAATACATCTACCGTGTACCAGAAAACAGATATGATTGAACACCGACAGTCCAAACGAAGCATATAACCACCAGGAGAGCTATAGCAACTATACTGAAGACCTCAAACGAGCATAAAACCAAATCACACAATCAGGTTAATCTCGACTCACAAAAAAGAACAAACCAACCACAAACACACTCATCATGACTAGACGAAATTGAACCGCTAAAGACTAAGCCACAGCCAGTGACAAGTCAAAGACGAAGATTAACCAACCAACAACAAAGTTAAGCCGCTAAGGATTTTGCTCGTTTCTTTAATTAGTTTTATTGTCCTGCTGTGTAAACAAAATTTAGAGCAAAGTTCGTGAATGTGCATGTGTATTTTTTTTTTTTGTCAACACATATGTGTGTATGTGTGTTTAAAGTTTTATCCCAACCGATGGTTTTGATGAATGGGATTTTGCTAATTTCTGTAATCAGTTTTATTCTATATTTTTTCAAAAAACATTTTGACCACCATAATTCATTCATTTACGAGTTTCAACCTCTATTAAGAGAGGAGGTGTTACAAAATAAAAAGGTGAAACAAGCCAACAAGTTTGCTATATGAAAGGCTAAGCTAAACACAACTCGAGACAACAATTTTATCAGGAAACAACATAATGGATCGAATAACATTGTTTCAATTGACCACCTCTTTGAAAGACAGCGGATGATTTCTTGACAATCTGATATGCATACAAGCTTTGAGATGCCCGCTAGATAGGTTACAAACAACATATGCAACCAAAAAGACTGAAAGATCACTTGAAGATGTCTGAGGACATAAATAAATAACTTATAAAATGAGAGTTATGGTGAACATGCATAATCTTATTCGTTATCCAACGGTCCAAAATTCTATCTCCCTATTAAAAACATTAGCAAACACATTAAAACGCGTGTAAGGAAAGTGGAGCATACAACTCAAATCTCAATGTACTTTAGCGTCTACAAAGCTGGTGTGTGCTCCTGTATAAATACCGATCACATGAACTCACATTTTCTTCAGACAGTAACATTCAAACCAACTAAATAAACCCAAAACCATGAATCCTTTTTACTTCCTTACCTTAACTGCTGTTTTGGCCACGACTGCGAAAGCCGGCGGACCAGTTCTCGATTCCAAAGGTCATTTCATGATCAGAGGTAGTTACTACGTCATCCCTCGCATCTTCGGCGCTGCAGGTGGCGGCCTGGCTCTAGTCCCCCGTGGTGACAAACAATGTCCCCTCTATATCGGTCATGAAAATTTAGAAGTTAACATGGGCATTCCCGTAAGATTCTCAAACTGGATTTCTAGAGTTGGGTTCGTTCCCGAGTCAGAGGACCTCAGAATCATGATGGATGTTAAAGCTACGACCTGTGCCCAGTCAAACTACTGGTGGGTCGCTCCTTCCGACAAGGACAGTAAGACGTGGTTCATAGCGGCTGGTCCTAAGCCAAAAACTGATGAAGATTCGTCCAAGACTTCCTTCCAGATCAAGAAAACTGGAGATTCTCTTAAAAGCTACAAGATTGTGTTTTGTCATAAGGGTAAGGACTGCATCAATGTCGGGATCTTCAAGGAGAAAAATGGCGTTCGGCGTTTGGTTTTAAGCTCCAAACCATTCCCTGTTGTGTTCGTGAAAGCTACTTGAACAAAGACTTCGTTCAACACTATGCCCAATATCTGAAAGAAATTAAAGACTACAAAGTTAAGAGGAGAAGAGTTACAACTTACGTCTAATAATAAAACTCCTTATGTGTTCACTGTTTTCTCTGTTCATCAATCATCATATATGGAATAAAACATCTTTCATTTGTTTCTTTTTTAATTCTCTATCACCAAGTTTAGATTCACATAACTTGGAAATTAAATAGAAACATTTCTCTTTAAAAATGGCCACATATGCATTCTCTAACACCACTTCACCAAAAAAAACTTCTAGAGAGAGAGAGAGAAGCAAAAGGAGTGGCAGCACAATGATGATCCTGTGGCGGAGTAGTTCCAGTGAATGTTGGATTTTCTGTTGAGTAAGACATATGTATAATGTACGTGTAGAATTATAGACGAACAAAAGAAGTGACCAACTATTCTCCAACGGCATGCTCTAAGTGGCACTTTACCCTCATGTGTAGTTATTGCGTAACAAATGTATATCAAAATTTGGCACGTGGGGTAGTCTTCAACACTTTATAACAAATGCTGTTTTATTAACATGGGTATGGAATGACTCAAACTAATCATCAAAGAAATTGAACAGTTCATGGATGAAACTTCTTTGTATTCAAATGAGCCATAAACAATAAGTTACATAATGGATTTTAGTAGAGTGTGTTTGAACTCAGGTTATTTAGCAATCCGAAACACACTCGCCATTAGATCACCATCGCATCACATGGTTTATATGGAAATTTTCTTATTTCTTAAGAGTTAAACAAGAAATTGTCTAACTTCGTTCAACACAGGGCGTTTGGTCTAGTGGTATGATTCTCGCTTAGGGTGCGAGAGGTCCCGAGTTCAATTCTCGGAACGCCCCATTTTTTTTAAGTTATGTTAACTTTGTAATAGGCCAGTTGTCTCTCTTCCTCTACCTTGTGCCACAGTGTGGGATTTTCCCAGTGCTGATAAATATTTCTTGTAAGCCCTATTTGCTTTGTTGGATACACCATCCCTTAACTACATACAAAATGACTGTTCTTCATTGTGAGAGAGATACAGCATCATCTATGTGTATTTAAAAATAGATTTAAACAAATAAATTAACGTTTATGTTCGGGTTTATTCGAGTTTTAGGTTTTTGGGTTCATGAATTTCAGCCATATTCGGATATTATTAAAATTTGGGTCGGATTCGGTTCGGTTATCTCGGGTTCGGTTCGGTTTTAGTAACATGTCCAAGATCCCGTTGAACCCAAAATAATTTCGGTTTCAGATACTAATCAGGTTATCGGTTCTAAAAATACTAATTTATACTCTATTAAACTCAATATATTTTTAATCGTTTAATAAATTTGTGTATTTAACTTTTTCAAACCATATTATTATCCTTCAAAATAATATTGTGAAACTCTCTTATCAACTATATAAGATTTGTCTTTGAATTATACGTGACAACACTATACATATCATGATTAATGACAAACCAAAGTCTTGTATGAACGAAAATTATATATGATTAAACATAAAAAATTAAAGTTAACAACTAATAAATCTATAAACGTAAGAAATACTATTTAAAAACTTAAAAGACAACAAAGTTGTTTAAACTTCAAAACAAATTTAAACTTCAAATGTAATGCCTAACATAAACATTAGTATCAACTAAATAAAAGTATATATTAGACTAAGTATTTAAGTTAATCATTCATGTAATAACTAATTATTGTAGGTACTCAATAATATCTTAATGTGATTTGGAAACATATTAGAAATTGAGAATGAATATGGTACAATTTTTTTGAAATTTTAAAAATTTGGGTCCTTTCGGATATCCATTTAATTTCGGGTTCAGTTCGGGTAAAACCCATAATCCGAAATAACATAAAACAAGATCCATTCGGTATTTATTTCAGGTTTGGACCGGTTCAGATTCTTTTTTATCGGGTCGGATTCGGTTCGGATTTTCGGGGTTCAGTTTTTTTGCCCAGCCCTACTCTTAAGTCTTAACCACGACATGGACTATTTAGTTTGGAAAATTATTTTATTTATTAGTTCTTAGGTTTGAGATTAGTCAAACTATTATAAATTGTTTACTAGATTTGATCCGCGCTTAGAAAACGCGGGATTACTTTGTTGATAAAACTACTGATATGTTTGTTAGTTCATACTCCCTCCGTTTCAATTTATATGTCGTTATAGAGAAAATATTTTGTTTCAAAATAAGAGTCATTTTTTATAATTTTGATGCATAATTTATTAATTTTATATACTTTTTTTTTATTTTTTTATTGGTTGAAATGTGGTTAGATGTATAGGCAGTGGTGTTTTTAGTTTGAAAATATGTAAAATTAAATATTTTCTTAATTTTTGTGTAAAAACCGAAAACGACAAATAAAGTTAAATGGAAGGAGTAATAAAAATAACAAATCTATTTGTTTAATCTGTTTATACATGATATATATTTTACATATTGGATGGAAAAACCAAAAAATGGTAATTATAAAGTGTGTACTCATTAATCGTAGATTGGATTAGGAAATCCGACTTTATTTTAATTTTTAATACTAATTTTTAAAATAATTAAAATTTATTAAATATAATTTATGTAAAATTATAGTTTTGTAAGGAATATATTTTGATGGTGTTATTCAATCCTGTATTTTAAAAGAGTTTAATTCTAGACACAATCCACTGTTATTCAATTGATGATTCTAAATTCTATTTTAAAATTCAGTGATTCAATCTATGATTGAATTTCAGGTTTTAAAATATGGTGTTATTCAACTTTTAAAGATTTCAAAATTCTTTGTAATATAAATGAATTTCAAATCATCAGTGATGGATTCTAATGAATAAATGATTAAACTCAAAATCCAAGGAGTATTGCAGAGATTTTAGAATCCATCAACTTTAACAATCTTAAAATTTAAAAATCTAGTAGATTGTAAATATTTAAATTTGATTTTAAATCACTAATTGAATAACATTAGTATATTTATGTATACTGATTTAGAAAAGAATTATTCTATGATTTTCAAATATGTTTTTATATTATAAGTTGAATATACTTTGCCAAAATAAAAGAAATTTCCATTCAAATTTTAAATTTTTTAAACAATTTATATATGGAAATTTTGTAAATAGTTGCAAAACATGAAATATATTTAATTTTGTATAATTATAAATATAATTTTATTTATATTTTAGTATAATATAAGTTTATTGAAGATATAATAATTAAAAAATATGTTAATATATTTATAAGAACCAAAAATTATAATAACCAAAATTTTATTAGAGAAGATGAAAAAGTATAGTAACATATATAATTGCAATTTTGTAGTATTATTTAAAAAAGTTGCTTTAGCCTAGTGGTTCATGTGTCTGTTTTAAATATTGACAAGACACGGGTTTGAGTCCAGGAATGTGCATAATATTTAGAAAAATAGTGAAATCAACACGACGTCGTTTTATCATTTTAATGGTTGTCTAACTTTTGTTACAGTCAATATAGGTTTATGCACGTTTTAAAAAGTTTAGGTATTTATTTTTCAAATATAACGTAGTTCAGGTCATATTTGACACTAGCAGTTTGTTCAGATTGTATTTGGCACTATTGAAATTGTTTGAGTAGGAATAGGCTCTTTCCCCGCATAGCTCATCAAATAATCTAACTTTCATAATCAGACTTGGTTAAGGATTAGAAATCATACTGGTGTTATGGATTTAGGTTCAATCGATAACCAGACCAAACCGGTCAATCAATAAGTAACGACTAAGGCTTTGAATAGTAAAAGAAGATCAAGCGGTGCAGATCAAGCGGTTCATGCGGATCAAACAGGAGAAAGACAGATTAAGTGGAATAAGTGCAGATCAAGTGGGATAAGTGCAGATCAAGCAATTTATTATAAATTGTAAATGAAAAAATCAGTTCAAAACTATAGATCATATATTTAAACAATAAAAGATTATACAAAATATCAAAATAAATATCTTAGATATTATAGGATTAGTTGAAATGTTAATTGAATTTTTCATAAGATGCTTGTACTTCTTCTATTTTAGTTTTAGTTGATCAAAATTATCTTTGTTACTAATATTAAACTCTTTGTTGATATTTATATAGAAAGATTTGTATCTTTTTCTTGAAAAATATTGTGTTTTGTCTGTGACTGGATGTCATACTTATAATTTTTAAAATGGAATACTTATAATTTTAAAATTGACACAAATACTCCCTCCGTTTCATAATAAGTGTCGTTGTAGAGAAAATTTTTCGTCACAAAATAAGTGTCGTTTTCGGTTTTCAAGGCAAAATTTATTAACTTTATTATGTAATTTATTTTTCTATTGGTTGAAATATGGTTAGGTGTATGGGTAATTGTGTTTTTATATAGAAAATATGTAAAATTAATTGTTTCCTTAATCCATGTGCACGAGCTTAGAGTGACACTTATTTTGAAACAGAGGGAGTAGTATTTAGTGTAAACTATATTGTTTGAGCTAATCATTATACATTATTTATAAAATCAAATAAATATATTTGAAGTTAGTGTTTGTAGCAAAATTATTTATTAGTGAAAAAAACAGATCAACACCATAACTGTTAGTGGGTGAAATCTCCTATTTTTTTCACAGAAAGACATAAAATATTAAACTGCCTGTAATTCTTCCGCTTGAACAACTTTTATAAGCATAAAAACATGAATGGTAAAATCAAAACAGCAGAACTGCAAATACATGAGAACTGCACTTGTTCTGCTCTTCCATTCCAACACTTCCAAGCGCAACTAAATCTGCTATAGACTATGAACTACGAAATTACAAAACTCAACAAATGAACTTAAACGAACTTCTGACCAGAAGATTCAAAAACCAAGAGAGAAAGGATTTCACCACGTGTCATTTCCTTTTGACCCGGTTCCAATCCCACGTCACATACTTTTTTAACCAGTACCAAAAAAAAAAAAAAACATTTTGTCTGAAAATAATACTG